TAGTCCAACCCCCTGCTCAAAGTAGGACCAATCCCCAATTTTTGCCCCAGAGCCCTAAATGGCCACCTCAAGGATTGAATTCACAACCCTGGGTTTAGCAGGCCAATGCTCACACCACTGAGCTATGCCTCCCCCCAAACTAGTTCTTCTAGTTTCTTTCTTTACTCAAAATTGGATAGTGCACTATTGTTGCTGGGTACACATTTGCATATCATTTGTATAAAAGTAGCACCTTAAAGCCCCACCCAAGATTGGCTCCCCTTTGTGCTAGGCAATATACATACTCACTTAGCAGAGACAGTCCCTGCCTTGAACAGTTTACAATCTAGACAGAAAAAGGGTGGAGGGAAAACAGAGGCAAAGTGAACTGCCCAAAGTTCCACAGAAGGTTTGTGACGGATAGAAACAGAACATCGGTTTCTGGACTTCCAGTCCAATGTCCTTGCTACTAGACTACACTGCCTCTCGATAATTTGACACACCAGTAAGCAGTTGGGCACTGAAGGAGTCACACATCCCTTTATGGCATTTTAAAAAAATAACTTTTGAAATATTTAAGCCCTTGTAGCTCTGAAGTGCTTGCAAATGTTGCAACACTGGCTGAAATAATGTCTAGCAACGTTCCTGCAGTGAGAGCTGTTTAACAAGTTTTCACACCCGCTTGTCAACCCATCCTTCATCAATTACGATCTTGCACTAGGAACTGGCCAGTTTCCAAGATACCGGAGCATTGCTTGCTCCCCAATAAAAGCCCAAAGAAATGGAACCTCGTTGGAGCTCACCTCGATTTCTGCCTTTTATCTCTTCCCATGGGATGCTGCAGCATGGAACCAACTCACACCATTGGATCCTATGTGGCCCGAATAAATACATTTCTGCCAAAAACAAAGTGTGTAGGGGGGGGGGCGTTTTTGTGTGTGTAAGTGACGTTTTTGAGTCAGACTCTGTGGCCTTTGGTGGAGGGCGTTGGTCTTGTGAAAGAATCAAAATGGTCGAAAACACCAAGGAGGTTACCCTCCTTCCTACAGTTTATGTGAAGCTCTGTCTAGTCTTTATGCTCAGCCGCTGTTCATCGCTGTATCTCCGAGGGAAACAATATGCAAGATCAAAGCACCCAGATCCCCTTTGCAGGAAAACCATCTTGCAAATGGATGCAAATAGCCAGCTGAAGGTCCCCGGGAATTGCGATTAACTCTTTGACTCCTGATCTCTTTGGTAATATTGTTCTCAGAGATCAATTAATAGCACCGAGAGGTGTTGGCTCTCTCTCATCATGGCGCTCTTTACGTCTCCACATTTTTTAATTCACTCTTGGCTTGTTGCCCTTCCGATCCCCCTCCCCCACATCAGTTTTTTGCTCTGGATGCAAGATGTAATTTCTCTCTCTACGTGCGTTGGGGCTCTCCGAGGCATTGTGCTGGCTGCCCGGTTCCCCTCCCTCTTTTGTTCTGCTTCACATCAGTGGCTGACTCTCCCCAAGACTATCACCTTAGCAAGAACCGCTGTCGTTTCAGCGCCAAGCACACGAACCCCCCCCCCGCCCCCGAGACATCTTTTAATTTACTGCCATCCCCTCCGCCCCCCCCCACACCCTGCGTGGATCCAAGGGAGGAAAGGGGGCAATAAAGCCGCTGATCTCCCCAAGACAGATCTGCCACCGCCCCCGCCCCCCAGAAACCCACTGCGATTATTTCTAACCGAGCGATCACTCACACACAGCGCGGGCTGCGGGCTTGGGGGGGGGGGGGGGAGAAGCGGAGGGGAGGGGAGCGGAACACTCCCTTTCCCCTGCCCGCCGCTCAGTGGGGGGGCTCCCTCCAGCAGAGCCGCTCTCGATCCGGATTCCGATCCGTATGAACCCTGCTTCGTTGCCATGCTGTAATATGCCCTCGCCCTGAAATCAACCAGCCGCCATAACCGACCATCTATCCCCACCCCCCAGGATCCCTGATTGCTCAGCGCCCTGGCAGAGCAGCAATGCCCCCTCTCCGCCCTGTGGTTCCCGGGTAACCCCTCACCCCACTCCCGGGCCCTGGGCTCCGCTTACCGTTATGTGGGGGATGCTCTTCTTGCCCTGGTAAGACATGCTGCCGCCTGCGAGCCCTGCGCGCACCACGCACCCCGGGAACAGCACAATGCAGAGATACGGGGAAGGGGGGGGCGGGGGAGCTATTCAATGGAGGCAGCGTTTCCTTCCCGGGAAAGGCAAATCTAGCCCCCTTGTTTCGGTTGCAATAACCCAGGGGCGCGCCACCCCGAGGGAGTTGGCCAGAGCTCCGTGCAGCGGCTGCAGCAGCGCCCTCCTGGCTGCAAAGCTGAGCAGGATTCGCTCGGCGCAACCCAGGAAGCGTTTCCTTTCCCTTCTCCCCCTCCCCAACCCATCAATCCATCTGTGGCCTCCAATACCGGGGCTGGAAAACGCCGTCCCCCCCGTCCCCCCCCCCCCCCACCTAGCAGCGGGCAGATCCCCAACGCCTGCTCTCCCACAGACCGCTTCTCGGGCTGTATTTCTACCAGGGCTGGGACAAAGCCCCGCTACCTCGCCGTGTGAATGTCCCCTCCCTGTCTGCACAGATAACGGGCGAGAGACCCACGGGCAGCACATTGCAGCGCAGATAGGCGAGAACAGGTGGGATTCACGTGGGTCTCCCTCATTGCAGAGAACTCAGCAGAGTGCTGAGTGAAGCCTCTCCTTTCCCCGTATTTCACCTACATTGTTCCCTTGCTGGCTGCTGAAGGCTCCTCAGGGGACCAGAGTAACGGAAGTCAAAGGCTCAGACACTGACCCAAAAGTTTAAATCCTTCCGGAAGCCCTTTCATAAAATGAGTTCTGGAACCAGGCCCGCGCTAAATTGCACCGAGTCATTTTTAAAATCAGGACACATCCCTGACACTTTATCACTTTTCCACTGAAATCTGGCTTCCGTGCTCAAAGTTCCAGCTGGGGGTGGAGGTGAGTGCGCACAGAATGGGTATGGCTGCAGGTTCTCCTCCCCTCTTCCCACGCCATTATCTAAATATAGATTATGGGATGATTTCAAACCTTTCCCCCCAATTCAGGAGAAGCCAACCCATTACTAATCTGGAATCACATAAATACATAATTCCTGGGCAAGTTTAGAGTACATGTTGTTGCCTGACCTGTGCAATTTTAAATAGGAGGCAGAACTCAGGAGGGAAGAGTACAAAGCACATGCAATGAGGCATCCCTCACTGTGCAGGGAGGGTTATCATTTTGACATAAAGTTGAAGTAATTAATAGGAAATAGACAGGGAAGGGAAGACTGCAGCACAGCTGGCTACACCTAGGGCCTGATGGAAGCCCTTTGCAGTCAACCAGACCCCTATACAGTATTAAGTGATTCCAGTTTCTCAAGTAACATATTTCATCTGGCACAAAACTACATCTAATAACCAGTACCATCTTTATGCTCTTTCCTATGTCTACACACCAGGAAAGTGTACCAGATCCTGGCTCAAGACAAACAAAAAAGATTTCCGCTCCTAGGTTGCAAAAAAAAATAAAAGAAATCTTATTGACATATATTCTGGCTGTGTGTGTTAAAAGCCAAATGGAGTGAAAAGTGGAAGGGATTTATTTGTGCTTGTTTGGAGTGTGTGTGCATGGGAAGCAAATGTGTTCAGAGATCCACTTACCAAAGTGAAAAAATAACTGCAAAGGTCTATTTATTTAGAGAGGGAAAAACGCTATCATCTCCCAGGAAAGCCAGTCCCCTGTGTGTTGTGATGTAGAGGTCTCTTATTTATGACCTCTGCCACAGGCTTGTATGCTACAGACGTGGGACTGCCCAGACTGCAAGAAGCTACTGGTTAGAGAACCCAGCTGCATTTCTAATTTCCTAATTTATCTTGGTATAGTCTTTGTCCTGCTCCAATGGGTGGGAGGGGGATTGAAAATCGCTTACCGCCACGGAAACAGAGGTCAACCAAGTCAGGAATCAGGCCATTATCCAGTGCTTAGCTCCGCAGTCCAGAGATTAGACAATTATCGTCGTTTTAAAGAAAATGCCTGAGCTTTGGGACCCCATTCTGTTTGCTTACAGCTATAAACAATCTGCTAAGGATACAATGAAACCCCGGGAGGACCCAGGTGGCTTGAGATCAGCATTAACCGAACAAATCTCACAAGACAGACAGGACGGGGAGAGAGGTGGAGTTGGTGTATGTAGAGGTGGGTGGGTGCGATTGACTCATCAGGGCTTTTGCAGCGCTAGGAAAAGTGAAACTGACGGCTCCCAGGTTAGGAGAGGCCCCTCAGCTCAGAGATTTCAGTTTAGGACTGAGCACCCTGCTTTGCTGTGCTGGATGGCGCCATTCAATACAGCCTTGTGGGATCTGCGCCAGTGTGGTTGTAGATTCTGAATAGTGTGTGTGTGTGTGTGTGTGTGTGTGTGTGTGTGTGTGTGTGTGTGTGTGTGTGTGTGTGTGTGTGTGTGTGTGTGTGTGTGTGTGTGTGTGTGTGTGTGTGTGTGTGTGTGTGTGTGTGTGTGTGTGTGTGTGTGTGTGTGTTCCCAACCAGAATGTGCAGGAGCCCTTTGTAAGAAATATTTCCCAGGGACAAACTGCCACGACCTTTTGATTTTTTTTGTTTTGATTAGTTAGATTTTTAAAAAGAAGCTGAAGGAGTGACGTCCCAGGCTTCGGAAGATGCGCTATGCCTGAGCCCTACTCGGGCTGCAGTAACAGCGTCCTGGTGTATTTATTCCGCACACAGGGGACCTGCAGCGCCAAGCCTAAGCTGGGATACATGGCAGTTATGCTCAAACGCGTGATCCCTGCAATAGCCCTGGGCCTACCGGCAAGCCGCAGTAAAGCTCTGCGGCGGGGCTTGTGCTGCATCGCTTGGGAAGCCAGCACCCTTCGCTGTTGCAGTTGCGACGCTCCTGATGCCTAGGGCTCGTGAGCGCTGTAGCCATGAATGGGTTCTCTCCCCCTGCCGGCGCTCGGTCCCGAGACCCTGCCACCCGCTGTCCCCTTACCTTCCCATTGTCCTGGCCCTGCAGCAGCTCTTTCCCCGCCGGGTATCTGATCTCGATGCCCGGGGTCTTGTCGTCCCGGTCCCCGGGGGAGCTGACCACGGAGCCGGAGACCTCGCTGACATCGCTGGCGGTCTCACTGTAACTGTCCCCGGCATCCAGCATCATGTCGTGTCTGCTGCCGCTGCGCGGGGTCCGGGAGCCCTTCTTCCCCACGCTGTAGGCATCGAAGTCGATGGTTTTGTTCTCGTAGGCCCCCTCCACCGAGGCGAACATGCCCCCGTATTTCTGCCGAGGGGTCTGAGCCGTGGTGCCCGGCCTGGCCAGATACACGGGCAGGTCATCTTCCTTGTTCCAGTTCCTCTTTCTCTCGGCCATGCTCTCTCTCTGCCCGGCTCTCTCCCTCCCCCCAGCGCCTCTGCACTTGCCACTACCGGGATCGGCGGCTGGCGACCATAAACACGCGTGAAGGGCTGCGGCAGCGCAGTGGCAGAGCTGGGGTTGGCTGGTGGGATCCGGGAGACGCAAGCCCCCCACCCGCGAAGAGAAATCTCACGGGGGGTTTCAAACCAGCCCGGTGAGTTAGTAGGCAGCACGTGAACTAAAGTACAAAGGGAACGGGGGAGAGGATGGCAGCGCTAGGCGACTGGAAAGCCCTGGGCGAATAGGAAAAGCACCGCACTAGCCCGCCGGTAGAAAGAGCGATCCGGAGGGAGGGTGTCCTCACCCCCCCACCCTGGGCAAAGCGGGCCCTTCCTGGCGACTCCTCCTGCCCCGCAGCAAAGATTGCGGATCCCCTGCGGCTGCCTGGCTCGCAGCGAAGCGCTGGGAATGGAGTTGCGTCCACCGACCCACCCACTCGCATTACCCGCCGTCTCCGGGGGAAGATATCGCCGTGCTGGCGCACTTGGAGAGGCGAGGGCTTCCCAGCTGGGGGGGGGGAGGAGGGGGTGCGCAATGGGCACGTCCACACCGCAAAGCACCTGCTGGCTCCTTCTTCTTTCAAAGGATCTGGACTTGGTGCCAGATCTCGCCGGGAAGCCTCGGTCTATGTAGCAACTTTGGGTTGGCTGCTGCTCCCTCCCCCCACAGCAGAAGTTGGTCAGGGGCGGCAGCGAAGACTGGCCTTCTGTGGCAATAGGTGCAGAGCGGGGGGGGACCCACGCACAGCTCCTGGTTCCTGAGCAGGAAGGGGAAAATCCGCTGCTCCTTACGGCCGCTTCCCTGCTTCTCTCTGGTGCCTGCAGCAGCAGCTGCAAAAGGAGGGGTGGGGGGGGGCGATATCCGTGAGCCCGGCCGCCCCTCGATCTCCAGTCTAGCCTCAGCCCGGAGGGCGGCGGTGGGTGAGGCCGAAGCGTGCCGGGGAGGTAACCGCCCCGCCGCCGCTGCCTGCCTCTGACACGGAAGTAATAGCGCCCGGCGCGGGTGCGAGCTGCACTGCAAATCCTCCCCGCCAGCAGGCCTCTGCAGGGAGCGGCCGGGACGCTGCGCCAGGAGACTGCGCCTGCAAAACTGCCCCGGGGAAGTGGGCGGGGAGGGGAGCGGACAAAAGACTGGAGCGTTAGGAGCAGAATAATGCACGACCGCTGCCCCAGGCTTCCCGCTGTCTGTAGCCAGAGCCGGGAGAGCGCCTGGCTGGGAGCTGTCCCTTCAGCACCGGAATGACCCGCCCTGCCGCTAGCCCCAGGCCTGCGCACGGAAAGGTTGACAGCCCAGTTGGTAGAGAAATCGACTTTGGGTAGAATCGCACTGCAGTAAAGTACTCTCCCTAAACGAGCCATACAGGAGTCTGAGTGAAAGAAAACAACAGAAAATACAACACTGGGCTTGCAAACAGGTCCACGTACACACACACACACATATTTTAAAACTTATATAAAATATTTTAATGGAGTTGCGCCTTCTTATACCAAGGATGAATCGGGTCATTATATTTAAATCAGGACTAATCGTTTATTCCGATAACGATTTTTTAACTGCCCTTGTAGTCAACAAAGAGTGAATTGTGACCCGGATTTCCAAAACAAATTAGGGGTCATTTTTGTAAAGCGGGGCAAGCTGAGCGACTGTCATTGCTTTATGTAGATTGGTTCAGAAAGTCTAGCTTTTACATCCGTAGGTAGATTTGAATTCCATTGTGGTTTAAGGCAAGTAACTTAAAACAATGATATTTTTCTGACCGTTAAAACTGTTTTCATAAACCTTGGAAATGCCCTTTGTACCGCAGCAGTTGCCTAAGGGATATTCTCTATGCTCTGCAATAATACACTTGAGCAAAATGCTGCTGAGATTGATTAATAGGCTAAGTGAAGCTGAAGCATTTCAATCAATCAGAAAAACTATGGATTGTTGGTATACAAGGAAACAATAGAGATGTTTGCTATTATACAACCACCACAATACACTCACCCTTTAATTGTCTAAGGCCCTTACAGCCATTCCTGGTGGGCCACAAACTGAAAGCAATTGAAGATCAAACGTTCGACAGGCCACAGGAGAAGTGGAAGAGTAGGGGTGAAACAATGCCCCCACCCCACTGAAGTCAATGGTAGAAGTCCCCTAGGAGTCTGGGAAGGAAGTTAGTTCAGGAGACTAACTTTCTCATACATACATTTCCACAGATTGAAAATGTATATGAAGTAGTGATATAACATACCAATTCCAGATATAACATTTCAAAGGAATTTCTCTCCTGAGCACAGATTTTTGCCCTCTTGGACTTATCAGTAACACTGGGAAATTGGGTAGATTGTTTGTATAACTGGGGCTGGAATGTTAACTACTGATAGTGACCTGATGGTTGGTTGACTGACTGTGACAATCACAGGGGGAAGGAGTGAGATAGTTAGACACACATACTCCTATCTTTTCAGAGCTGACTTTAATAGGAGTTGCATCATCTATTAATGCCCCATGCTATAAAATATACATCCTGTAAGGATTTCATGGGTTTGTGAGGAAATAATTAAAATTATTTCTAGGCTGTGACTTACTGAAATCCTTCTCTTGTATAATGGGCAGAAATTGATTTTTGTTGAGGGTAGCATCAGGGCTTATTGAGCAAGGTGAAAAAAAATAGTATTTTACTCCCAGGGATAACAAATCTTCATATTCAGTGAAACATGAGGTCAGTGTGTGTAATATTACATACATTCTGAATGTCTTCTTCAAAAATAACAGGAAAGTTCTCCAGTAAAGTGTAAAGGTGTAATTAATTTTCCTTTCCAATTAATATGCTAGTCAGGAGAGGAAATTAGACCTCCAGAAAAAATTATTTACCTTTGACTGGCCAATCAGGAAGCAGAGATGTGCATATTTTTCTAATCGACTCAAGGATGAACATTATCTTTTGCCAAAATCATCTAAAGTCACCAGGGATGTCCTCATTTGTATTTGTGACCTGTATGGTAAAGATTGTTCACTTTTATGGAGGTAAACAATACAAACTTTTTGACAAATCTCCTAACATTTTCAGGTGAGCGTGAACCAGGAGTTTTCTCTGGTCCAAAGTAATAATTAATGTACTATTGCACCATTATAAAATATGACACTAAACCAATTTGTGCTTTACTTGGCTTATAGCTTTAAAATAGGAAATAATGTTTATACTCAGAGAAAAAAATCCAGGACACATAATATTGTCAACATTGTTCATTGCTTTGAAATTAAAGTCCTTCATTAAAGTAAGCCTCTTGACATTTTATTGTATTAATAACTGTGTTCTAAATGCTCAGATATTTACATGCCTACAGTCCTGTCCTGTCTAAATTGCAGCTTTGTCACAAAGTTTGCACAGGAACAGACCTTACTCTGAGTCACAATCTGATTCTCAGTTGCCCCCTCGGTTTGTGGGGTTTATCTAGAAAAGTGTGTGGTCTGATGTCAGGTTGTTTAAATATACCACCTTGGCAAAATTCTCTTATTGATGTCGTTTCTAATCTTGTCTCAAGACATTTTGGAAAAATGAGGCAGAATTTAAGGGAACATGCACACTATGTTTCTATTAATGGATCTCCTATCTATATGTGTATCTATCATTAATACCAATGACATATGTTCCATTCAAAGCAGGCTAGATACCTGAGGATAAGCAATTGAAGTAACACATAAGCAGGTTTGCGTAATTTAAAAACAATTTTTATCTTATAAAAAGCCTGACTGTTGGCAAAACATACGTCAGGAGATCCTCAATTTTAATCTTAATACCCTTCAGCAATGAAGGCAAAATTCATGATCTTAAATGGGATTTTCAGGGTCTAAAGGCCGAGTGCTGGCTTCCTCTCTCAGGGACTTGGAAATCATGTTTAGAGTTCAGATATTTAAATCTTATGGGACTGTTCTTGTTCAGTGCTGCAGGGGGAATTGACCACAACACAGAATTGGGTCTATGGTGTTATTTTGAATCCAACAAATGTCCTATAATTAGATCCCCAAGCCCTTCAAAGACTTACTTTCATGTTTTGCTTTTTGTCAAGTCAGTAGTCTTATCCTGCTAACACTTACACTTGTGCTTAACTTCATAACTCACCATACATCAAATTAAGCATATGTATATTATGCACTGCAGGATTGGGATCTTAGTTCCCTAGTGTGCAGCACCAGGCTTTTAACTTTTCATATAGCCATATAATTCCCCGCCAAAATCAACAGCATTTTTTAGAGTTTTATTTATACTGATACTTCAAAAGCTCTATCACCACAGTGGAACGAATAACTAATAATTAAACAGTTTAAAGAAAGTTTTTAATTTAAAATATGCATACATTTGAATATACAAAATTATGCAAATTATACATTTAACTAACATAGAAAAATACATCTGGATAACAAGATAAAATGTCAACATATTGTACACAATTTTAAGTGATAGTTACAAATCTGTAATAATCATAAGGTAGACTTTGTGACTGCATTACAATTCTGTCCGTCTCCTCTCTAGTTACTTTGAAATTAACATATATGTACATTTAATTACATGAAGGAAATGTCCTAAAGTGAAATTCATTGCTGAAAAATGTAAACAAGATAGCTTCAGTGTAACACATCAAAATGATAAAAGCATCTTTTATGTCACTCAAGTGAACACAATTAGCTGTTCCATTTTAATCCCCACTGGTAGGGGTGTCAAACTTTCTGCATTTATTTACAACAATTTAAAAAAGGATCGAGCTGTAACTTTTGGGTAATCTATATCAAACTATGAAGCCCACGTTTTTTGTGCATGCTTTGGCACTTTATCAAACTGGTTCTAATTTGTGTCCCTTACAATCAGCTTTTCATGACTCCGAGCTAACATCACACTGTTGTATAGATGAAAAGCTGATAAGACCTCATTCATATTTTGTGCATCCAAGGCTCTCAATTTAAATTTGGTCCCAAGAAGTGAGAAAATATCCATCCTTTTCAATTCAAACAAATACTTATAAGTCTTTACTCCTTACTTTAATTTACATGGGCTTCATGCGTTCAAAACAAAGCCAAAAGCCTTATTTATAAACAAGCTACAAAAATCTATGCCACGCTGAATCTTGGCATTTACAGTGTAAGCCAAGGAGTGATATTATTTACACATTTTCCAACCCCCTTTTTTAGTCACAGGAAGCAGAACAGAAGATGACAATGTTGGAGGGCTTTATTTTTTTCATGTCTATATCCATCATTGCCAAACCCTTCATTCATAATAAGTGAAATTCACCCCACATAAGACCACTTAAGATCCATTTAAAACTCTAAATTAGTGACATCTAGGGCCTTGTGTAGGCTCTCTGCAGAGGAGTGAATTTCACCTAATATAGATTAATCTCTCTCTCAACATAGAAAAACAAATCTAAACAGTTCAGATGCTGACATATTTATATTTGGAAATCAGCTGCTGCACGTGTACAGTTACCCCTTTCATTGCATTTTACATTTACATATCATATTAACATAGCAAGAATCCATGTGACATAGTAAAACAATGATGAGCACAGATTTACACCACAGACAGTAACAACTCTAAATCAAGTCAAGCCTCTATACCTCCTTAGCTCCTTTCTCCTTTGACCACGTTGTCCCTGCTGTGCATAGGCAGTGATGATGAGTGTATGATATTTATATATCATATGTGCTGCACAAGTAAAAGATAGGGTGAAATCTTGGCCGCATTGAAATCAATGGGAGTTTTACCATGGACTTCAATGGAACCAGGATTTATGCAGCACATCAGAGTTAAGCTGAACTTTCTTTGTTGGTTTAACTCCAACTTTAACATTCCTAGTTTGCTGATAATGACTGATACCATGGATTCCAATGGTAGAATTTGAATTTGATGTTTTAGTTTTGTATCCTACTTTGGAAACCGCAATAGATTTTATAACCTAGGATATGTAAAGGGGCAAAAATTCCTGCCCATAATATAATGGCTACTGATTTCTAATGCAAATATGTTTGGAGTCCAAGGCACAATATGTCTTAAAGGAATTCTGCTGAAGCAGGAAAGAGGTCTGCACAAGTTACTATACCGTAATCCCAAAGTCTCTTCCCCCTCTGGCTCCTTAAGGCACTAAAGGATTTCCAAAGGATTAGCTGCAAAAGCCAACATGCACTTGTTTTTCCCACCAATGCAAATTCAAAATACTAAAATCCTTCACCTACATACTAGAAAGACAGGTAGACTTATGAAATATAGATGAGAATTTCCACTTTTTAAAGGCCACAGACAAATATCAATGCTGCCTGAATAGGAGGGTTATTTTGAGAATTATATTGTGTGCATAAAATATTTCTTAGCCAATTGTATTAGCATACATTTAACATAATTATCATTCGGTGATTCAATCACTATACTTCCAGCATCTGTCAACTGTGTTGGTGCAAATAACAGAATTCAATTTTCCAAGATGATATAAGGACCATTGGTTGATTAGAAATATGTCATGAGATATATTTTTAACATCTTGTAATGCTCTGCACAGTAGAGTGTATGGTAATAAGTGAATTAAGAAATAAACCATATTTTATATGTAAAAATGTCCAGTGTCAATCTGTGTATTTTGTTCAAAGTGAGAGCAAAGGAGTATATTTACATAGGAGGACTTGGTAGCAGCATCTTAACATTAATTGCAATTAATTTGGTCAGAAAAATATTGTGCATATAAATCAAGCCAACCAAAGTGCCCAGTTTTACATTTTGAGAAGCAGTTTACCATACACAAGAAAAGCAGCACCTTGTCAAATACAGATAATCAGTAGCTGTTCCATTTTATCCTGTTTGAATTTAGCAGGTCAGCCTACTAGAAAGAGAGGCAAAAATAGTTCCTTTGTCCTGCACAAAGTTTGCTTAGTGAACGCATTTCAAACTGAACAGATTCTATAATAACTAGACACTGCTTTTTTCTGCTCACCACAAGGAAACTGGAAATTAATCTTTATGCTCCCTGCCTGGTCTAATCACAACCCACAAACTCACATTCATAGCTTTGCTGCTTTATCATCATCATTTGCGTTAAAGATGAGATTTCAATTCCAAATCTTGTGACACACAGAATGAATCCACCCATCTACTAGTTTAATGAGTGAATAGTCTTTTATAATACTGGAAGACAATTCTGATATTAGGAGGTGTGCAGTTTAAGAGAGGTGAACGTGGCATGTGCCACAAAAGAAACATAGCACAATCATTTTTTACGTGGAGTGAATGGCTTAAGGCCTGAGACACTAAAAAATGGACAAGTTCATTATCAACATTTATATTTCATAGTGGGAGACTGGTCATAAATACCAGGAAACATGCATGATGTCTTAGTTTAACACTTCATTCAGAAATAAGAACGAGGGTCTAATTGTATGCGTGTTTTGCAAATGATATATGTGTTGCTTCTCTTCAGGTGGTAGAGTATGCTAATGGCAAGAAACCCACATATGACACCAATTTATTTTAAGAGCGCTTATTAGCAGTTAAGCTTCAAATGTTGCCATGCCAACTTGTCATCTCTTGATAACCATAATCTAAAAATGCACAAGAAATTAATCTGAGATGGGTTTCCTTATTTTATTAGCCTTGTACCTCCCCCCTTCAAAGAATTTCTGAAATTACTGGGAGACTAACCACTGTAGAGATCAGCATATTCTAAAGGTTAGCTCAATTAAAATAAAATAAATGATAAAAAAATAAATGATAAAAGATTTCAAAATAGTTATCAAAACTGACAGTGCATTACACAACAAGGGGGAAGTTACGTAAATTAGTACCCAATTTTGCTCCCATTCAAGTCAATGGGAGTTTTGCTATTGACTTCAATAGAAGCATGCATAAGCCATTGAAGTAGGACTGTAAACACTCATATGTACCCTTACACTCCAGTCTCATGTGTGCAAGTATATCCAACATATCTGCATCTGCAGATAGATACAATAATATGTGCTTACCCATTTTGGACGCATCAGTGTGTGTTCTGCATACATTGTTACCAGTTTGTGGGCGCACACACAGGACCTGGTTCAGCAAAGCACATAAGCACACCAGTAATCCAACTAAAGTTCAAAGGGACTGCTCACAGGATTGAAGGTAAGTATGTGCTTATGTGCTTTACTGAATTAAGGCCATAGTGCACAATTCTTCCAACTTCTCAGTGCCTACAGGTCTGGGATGAGTACGACACTTACTCCAGTGGATGCTGAAGGCACTCGGTACCTTGAAAAATGAGTCCATCTACTGCCATATCCTGAGAGGTTCTATGTACCCTGAACTCCCATAAAAGCCAGTGGGATTGAGGTCCCATATGACCTTCATATATGCAAGCTCCCTATAACCACATATGTAGGCATCCAAAGGTTGGGATTTGAGCAAAACATGAGAATTTCCTAAAAATGCATTACATTATTAAGATTCTATAAAAGATCTATATTTAATTGGATTGCAACACCAACTTCCAGTGAAGGATGAGGGTCAGTAAGTCATTGTGGCTTGTCAGTTTTTTCCTTAGCAAAGCAGCTATGGAGGCTTCCAGACTAGAAACACCCTTTGTGATACCTTCAGCACTACATTGCTTTTTCTTTTCATGTCTGATTCGTTCTTCCCTGCATAAAAAGAAGGAAAAATACAAATAAGTAATATAATGCTATGAAATAAATATGCAGCTAGAGTTCCACATTTTATTTATATAGGGATGTTATACAAGTAAGTCCAAGACAAAACATTTGATAATAAATATTACATTAATTCTATTCTTGTACAGCATGTCTTGCCATTCATAGGATTTATAAGCTCTAGGCAGATTATGATCAGTGGCAATATTGACTGGTTTGGAGACAACACAAATACACTGAAAATGGAGTTATCCTGAATACTTCCATTCTCTAGCTGATTCTGGAAGTTTTAGGTTAGGAGACTGCTTCTTAACCTTGCCTGGATCACTACCCACTTTTCCCTACCAGGGCCCACTTAGCAGTGCAGGAAGAACAAGATGGTCAATCTCCTGACACCAGTTTGCCATCTCCAAATTGAGATCTCCTGAAGTAGGATTAACTGTGTTGAAGATTCTTAAGTGAAACTCACCCCTATGCAGCAGGCTAGCACAAATCCAATGCAGCACATAAGTCTCACTTTTTAAATCTTCAAAATGGGGAATATTTAGGACTTAAGTGGTTCATAGGCCTTGAGTTGGGTCCCTTAGTGCTGAGCAGGTGGATAGTACTGATTTTTGGAAGTACAGGTGCCCTGCCCTCACTAGCATGACCTCACACATATGTTGCATGTGAGGCCTCACTGTGGAGGCCTCAGTGTGGAGGACAACCATGAGGCTGCAAGGAGGATGCCATTTTGTTTCTGTGTAATTGCTGGAATGGCATTCCGGCCCCACTACACCACTACTAAGGCTCAGAGTAGCACAGATACGTAGGAACAGTGACGCTGAGCATTACATTACCCAACTTTTAGGCATCTAGAAAATTACAGGAACATGAAGCAATCCACAAAGCCTTAGTTAGGCACCTATGCTCCCTGCACATTGAAAGAGGAGAACTAGGTGCCTTAGACTGCAATTCACAAAAGCCAGCACAGGAGGCAGCCAATGGGAGATGATGACAAGGGGCACCTAAACCCCACCCCTCTCATGGAGATAGGCACCTAAATCCAGGCTGCAGGGAGGCACCTACCTCTGCTAGTGATTCCCCTCTCCTGAAGTGACATGGCTTAGGCACTTAAGCCTCGTCTCGTGAGAATGTGTGTGGCAGGCACCTCACATCATACAAAGCAGCTGGAGGAGGTGGTTCGGGTGCCAACCTTATAACTTTTAGTCCAGTGGTTAGATTACTTGCCTGGGATGTGGAAGATACAGTTCAATTCCCCCCTGCCACTTGATGGGGAGAAAGGATTTGAACAGGCTTCTCCAAACTCTCAGGAGTGTGTTCTAACCACTGAGCTATGGGATAGTCTGATGTAAGTTACCCTCAATCTCTCCTGTTGAAGCTGTTCCACTATGAATAAATAATTAAAGAGTGATTAGTCTCATACAGTTTAAGGCCACAATATACTATAGCCCAGTGGTTAGGAAACTCACCTGAAAAGTGGGAGACCCCTGTTCAAATCTTTTCTCCCCATCAGGCAGAGGGGGGACTTGAACTTGGGTCTCCCAAATCCCAGTCAGGTACCCTAACCCAGTGGGCTAAAAGTTATAAGGTGGGCAGCACCACCATATTCTCCTCTGGTCAGACTTTGAGTGGGACCTGATCCAGAAGGCAGCCTATGAGCATGCCTACCAGATCGGATCCTGCATGTGAATTAGGTGGCCAAATGTCTATTTTCCTTGGTTCATGAATTGCTGTGGGGCTTAGGCAAAAGATAGGTGTCTGGATGCCTAGCATGAGGTAGCAGTGTGTGTGCTCAAAGGCAGAAATTTAATTACCTAGGGAACTTCTACCCTTACATACTTAGGTGCTAAATGAGTTTAGGTGCCTACAGAGTTTGGCAGGAGTTTTGTGAATCGTGGTGGACCTTAAAACTGGGATTTAGGCATCTAAACACAGATTTAGATACCTAAATGTGGAGTTTAGGCACCTAAGTACCCTTGGGATACCAGGTCTTAGTGCAGTGGAGTCCCCACCTACCTTACACCTTTGAACTCCATCTTGGGCCCATAATAACGCATCAGCTGAGACTTGCTTCCCCCCCATGCCAAACACCTTCCTATTGCCTTCCCAAGATGTCTTCTCCTCTCAGTGCAAAGTAAAGCAAAGGCTGGATCTAGGCTATAAACAAACAGTCTTTGGGACTGCTTTCCTCTTAAAGCACACACAGGCTTTTGGAGTTCCTTCTCATCTCCAAAACAAATAAAGCAAAGCTGGTGAGCAAGTGGCTATGAAAACACCGTCTTTTGGGGCTTTCTTCTCTTCTTTGGATTACAACCTTTCTGGGAAGACCATAATCAAACCTAGAACAAATAAAACATACTTACAATATCTTAGATATTACAGCACTCACCATCAGCAACTACCAAGAGATGTTTGCAACTACCAAGAGATGTCACCATGCACTCTGGTATCATCTAATAGATATTTAGTAATTATTAACCAAGAGAAGTATCTGATATCTTAGTGGCAGAGCCAGGCTAACATTTTGAAATCAGTCTGCAGAAGTATTTTTCATTCACTTCCTTTTATACACAACTAAAGCTGCTCCACTGTGATCTCATCATTATGCACAGGACCAACCTAAGGATTTGGAGGAGGATCAGTCAGATGATTATGTGGCCCTCTTAAAATTTAGTCTCATTTTAGAATATAAAGGGGTTGCTCTGTGGGCTGCTGCTCTTCAGAAGCAGTGCTCAGCTGTTTGCACAGGAATCAATCACAGTTGCCCACATTGACTAACCCTTTTAAAGGGAAGAATGTCTAAACAGGACTGGGAGGTCTTGGTTCTTCCATGTCCAACATATTCTATTAATCTCCCTTCAGCTATCACTGTTTTCTCTTTTCTTTCTACTGTCTTCTTTTTCGCTCTCCTCTTTCTTTTAATAGCATCTTGTTCTTTTCTCTATCATCTTCTTTTTCACAGTCACTCCATCCTATGTTGCATAGCCCTGTTGCTCTTTCCCATGAAACATTGTCTATTTCTTCCTTGATTCTCTTATTTTGTTCTTTTTGCCCCTTTGCGTTCCTATCTTTCTGGAAATTCTGCTGCTCACTTTTGCTCCATTCAATCCCTGCTGATCCTTTTCTCACTCTAAGCAACAATGGCAACATATATCATTATTATAGTGCTTTGCAAATATTAACTAACTAGTCCTCACAGCTGCCTTGTCAGATAGGTACTGCATTTTTGTACATGGTTTGTGGAAAAGGAAAGATGTGTTTAATGGTGCTGTTTTATCAAATGCTAATGCTGAATAAACATTTGCAAAGTGGTTAGGCACACGGGTGTAGCTTTCAATCATAGTACTCAGGAGCTGGCTGATTTCATATTATAGAACAGAATAGCTTCCTAAGGATCCTAATATTTATTTGTACTTCTGATGTGCTGAAAGCTACTGGCTCCATATTCTTTGTTTGTGCTAGTACACATTCTTGGGTAATGACGCAAAGGCTAGACTCTTTCTTTCACATCCCAGTATAAGGGCAATCCATTTCAGTCACCAAAATACGGAACTGCTAGTGCAGATGGTCATTAAACAAGACCTGTTTCTCTGTGACATTGAAATCTTGAAGGAACTCTTATAAACTAAAAGATAAGATTGTGCAACCTGATCCCTGCACCCCTTCAACATCTTGGAACATTGCAAGAGGGACATGAGAGGATTTAATTACAAATAAGAAGTAGGATTATACCACTGAACTGGACAAAATAACGTTTTAACAAGAAAGCACAGGATTAATAGAAAGATAAGAATGCCTGATGCTGAATGGAAACCTGGCTCTGCTTGGTGAATTGCAGATATTCTTCAAGAGGAGTATATTTTTACATAAGGATTATCTCCACAATATGTTTGGGATTGGTATTTGGATTATTTCTCTCATAATAAAAGCTAGGGGCAGCTTCCGTTTGCTCACCTGACATTCTCCAAACCTTTAATGACCTTTGTGTTTTTGAACTTTTTGCACTTATTTGCTCCAGCTGTTCCTGCCCCTCCTCCCTCAATGTACTATATCTGTGAAACATTTATAAAGATGTTTTCAGGAAATTTGATGTGAAAGGATGTCGACATTCCATGCCCCTGAAAATGTCCTTTCTTGTGGAATTTCAGATGAGTGACTGTGATGGGGGCCACTTACCTCTTGTGAGCACCTCCTGCTGGCCGGGTGTGTGCCTGCACTCTCTGCTTTGTGCTGCTTGTCTGTGGTGAATCCCCCTGGCAGTTTACTTCTTGAGCAGGTTTTCACTGACTCAGCCCTCTGGCCGTGTCACACACAGGCCATATGTACGCAACAAAACAGTCCAACAGGACCTATCATAGTACCCTGCTTGTTGCCTGCCTGCCACCCTGTCTTGGGCTCAGGTCTCAAACTGTTCACAGGGCCTATTAATGTACCTTCATTTATGGTCAGCCTCTTCTGGGCTCACTGTAGTATTGTCCCTGCTCTGATGTGGAGCAGTGCCTCCAGGGCTTCCTCTCTTGTAATCTTTTGACTTTGGTGGCCAGTCTCTTACCCAACTCTCCAGCTGAGTCACTAGGTCAGTTCGGACCCCTTCTGGGGGATGAGGGGTTATCAAATTCAACAAATGTTGACTCTCTTCTGGGCCCTCAGCCCCTTCTCTGGACATGTTTAAACTCCCTTGCTCAGAGCTTTGGCCACTCCACCTGTTTTGGGGACCTGGGCCTGCCCACTACTCTGGGTCCCAACTGAGGGACCCTACAATTAGCAGCCACCTGCTGCGTCCCTTTTAATTCTGTGCTGCTATTGTTCCCTGGGACACTCTTCCATGGCTGCAGCTTTACCTTAACCCTTAGGTCAGGGCTAAAGATCTCCTTTGCATGCCAGCAGTCAGTCAGGATCACTTTCTTTGCTCCTTTGATCCCTGCCAGTAGCTGGTCTGACCAGGTCGTGGAACCAGCCAGGAGCACTGTTCTTACTCCTCTAGCTCCAGCCAGCAACTGATTCTGCTCTGTCCAGCAGCTCCTTTTAGATGAGCCTGCTGGAGTCTGACTGGTTGCTCCTGCAGCCTCTTTCTAATTGGCTGCTTCCCCCACAGCCACTCTAGGCAGCCTGGAAGACTCACCTTCACTGCTCCTTTTCTGGGGGTGGGGTATGACTGCAAGGCTTCAGCAGGGGGCCACTGACACTAGTTCAGCCCCTCACAATGGCCTTTCTTTTTTATTCTTTATTTTGAAACATGCACAAAGGCCAACATTGCTCAAAATGGTGTTAGGAAGGGGATGTGATATCAGCCAATCTTCCAGCTTTGACTTTTCTTTTTTTTGGACCAGATGATATGTGGAAGCAGGTAGATAGAGATACATGCTGCAGAATGGTGTTCCTAAGGGCTGCATCTACAATGACAATTTTAGAGAAATCTCCCTACATAGTACTGGCAAGTATGGAAGTGACAGTTGAGACTGGCCAGCACTGATTTTAATGCTGTATAATTCAACCCTGCTCAGATCCGGTCTAGACAACATGGTGGTAAAAGAGAGTAACTGGTCTACACAAGCATTTAACTATTGCTAGCACTAATTGAGCAGGATCAGTGCTCGTGCACTGGTGGGTGATTTCCTTAAAATTGTCAGTGTACATATTGTCAGACCTCTTGCCCAGTGTCTGTGTGCAATTTAACTTTCCAAAGATGAGCCAGTCCGTCAACATGTCTGTTGCAAGGTGTATCTTCTCCACCGAGCTCTCCAACTCAACAAATGAGAACAGCAGTAAAATCAACACTTTGCACATTTGCCGGCTTTGCAAGAAGGCCACAGAGCGAGTATGATGGAATCAAGGTCAGGTGGATAGATCCAACACACAGTTCAGCAAAACTCAGCAACAAACATTACCAGAAGGAGGATTAAAAGAAAAGGGAGTATGTGCAGAACTGCACACCAAAAGGAGCATCTGCAGCAGCAAAGCTGTCTGTTCCCAACCCCCTCTCAGAGTGTTTTCAAAGCATTATTGATTTTTGGAATTGTGCATGGCACACACACTCATGAGACTTCAGGTGACAGCTAAATACCTCTTCCCCTTGTAGATACCTATAAAGATAAGGCTTATTTAGGATCCTAAATGATGGCAAAACACAGAGGCATGCTTTTTTTTCTGACTGTATCAGAGAGGACAAAGTACAGCCACTCCCTCTGAGAAGATGATCAAAATGGCTTCTGCTGACCCTTCCGAGTATGTGAGGTAGGCTCAGCTCAGCAGTAAACAAGAAAAAAACAGCACATGAGTCTAACCATTTCACTTCCGCCGTGTGAGCAATCCCAGCAAAAAACTTCCAACTTGGGATGCATTGGAACGCTGCCTCACAATGTTCTCAGACGCTTCGCACATTTAGGGCCACATTCATCAGTACGCTCCTGGTGCTGTGTGCTGCTCTATGGACAAATAACACCCATAAACCCATCTTCAAGCCAGGTTTCCAGCTGCTTTATGTCACTAGAGAGGTACAAACAGACCATGACATACTAGTGCATCTGGCTCTTTATGTTAAGCATTGGTGAAAATAACACTGCTGTGACACCGTTTTGAAGACACGAAGGCTCAGGAAGCAGTTCACTCTTCCTGAAGGGCAAATTTCAAGTATTATTAATTTCTAGCTGAAAGTGCTGCTCAGCTCTAGCTCTGCCCTTCCTAAGGACTAGAAATTCCTCTCACTTTTGTACCCACTAGGGTCTACTGGTTTCCATGGCATGACTCCTGATTTACACCAGTGTGAAAGGAGAAACAGGCATTAAAGACTTGTGCACCTAATGTCATTTACTAACAGATGCATTGAAAACTCCAAGGGCAGAACAAATATTTCATGCAATACAGCTAACAGAGCTATATTCAGGCACTTTTCCATTTAAATTGCAGAAAAGCAAACTTCTATGTGGCATTATCTTAGCAGAAAAAGATCCATGGTAAATGATTTCTTCCGTGTTCCAGGGTATTTTCTAATTCAAAAAATCTTTGTTTGCAATAAATATGATGACCCATCAATGACAAAACGGACAAAAAATGTACAGCTTGCAAGAAAAGTAAATAGAACAAATCTGTATTTAGTAATCAAACAATGGGAATTCTCAGCAGCACTGTAAGAAACTGTTATGTTACTAGTGGCTTATTGATATTTATGAAAACCCTTTGATTTCTGTGTTTGAAAAAATCAAATGGTATTCCATGTACTCTTTTCATTAGTGGCCTGCTGTTCTTAAACTTCATTTCTAATTGATGGATTCATGGGAGAGCTCAAGATGGGCTGATTCTCATTAAACTGCAGCAGAGCTGTATTGATCCCACTTACAAA